TTTTTAAATAAATTATTTTCAAACTATCTTGTACAAAAAAAGTAACATCTTTGGGCACACTCTTACATCTTCAGGTGAGCAAAAGAAAACATGAGAGTGAGTCATAATCTGTCTTGTAAGAAGCTAATTGACATATGCAGTAATGTTTTTAAAGTGGGTTTATTCTGTAGAAAAGTCAACTTTGGGCTTTTTTTGAGAAAAATCATTGTTTTATTTTGATATAAACAATTGCAAAAACAAGCATTTTCCATTTATTCAAGAGGGAAAAAAAGTCCTTAAAGAGACACTGGAAAAGTTAAGTATGTAGGTCACAAAACCTCTAAATAGTGCAACTCTGCAAAAATGTAGTCTGTTTTTCCACTTCCTACAGCGTAAAACACCTAAAAGAATGAAAATAAAAAATAAGAGTCTGCACATTTACAACACAAAGTTTTATTAAATGTTAGAGAACATGATTGGAGCTCATAAAATTACCTCAATGTTCTCCTTAGTGTGTAAGGAAGTTACTATATAAAGAGTAGAAATTCTACCAAGAGAAAAAGTGTCAGTTTTACACAAAATATATTATCTTACCCCAAAACTGCAGATGTGAAGCTAACGCTAAAGAAACAGAACATTATAGAGAACAATAACTACAGTTTTCAATGAGAGGGGCAACACAGTGTTACTCCCATCAAACATGACAAACAGAACATGAGGCTGTAATATTGATTCAAGAGAAAGCAAGTCAAGCATCAGTGATTTCTTTGCTAATTATATACACATCACATAAGGCAGACGGTTATGGATAAGGTCAATGTGGAGAAGTGCACTTGGCTTCAAAGCGTACATTAGCAGAATGAGCTACTCAAATTGCGCAAAAAGAAAAAAAAAAAACATTAAAAAAATTACTAAACCATGATCATTAGTGTCCATTCTCCATTTTTTTCCGTTTGTGAAATGAATCAGGAAACTTTCTCTAGATTGGACAACATGCATCTATTTTTTTTGTTTTGTTGCAGTCGGAAGTGATCTTTGGTGAAAATGTAAACAATTGCGACAGGAAGAGAAAGAAAGAAACAAAAAAGTCTTGAGGAAAAAGAATCCAAAGAGAACTAAGAAACTCCTCAGCCCTGCATCCTAACGTCGTTTAACACCTTCCAACTTTTAAAAGCGAACAGCGCTTGTGTTACGCAAGCCGTGTTTCAGAACAGACAGCAAGCTTCGCATTGTGAATTACAACTTTTTTTTTCCTTTTTGGATCCCATTCGAAAGGAATGGGATCCAAAAATAATAATAAACTGAGGCACAGTGATAAGGATGATAGCTTCGATAAGAGGCCGCTTTGGGAGTTTAAGCTAAGGCAAGCTAAAACACATGAGATATAATGGATAGAGTCGGTGTCTATAGGGGCTGGAGGCCTCGGAGCCACACGCTTAAGGCACATTCATAAGCATAAAAAGCACTGCCTGCTAAATCTAAACCCCCCGATTACCCCAACAAAAGAAAAATCATCTTGGTGAAGGTTTTGTTCTTTCTACACCCTCCCGATTCAGCGCAGAACAAATGTGACCCTCGATCTGCCGTCGCTTCATCTCACTATCCACCTACCCGCCCCATCTGCCCGAGCGGCTTTCACACGCTCTACCACTGCTCCCAGCTGAACTCGTCCCCACCTCCGAAGATGACGAAGAAGCCGAGGATGGTGAGGAAGATGACGGCGTTTCCCGTCATCACCAGGCCGCAGGCGCCCCACTGGATCTGTAAGAGAGCAGACTCGGGTGTAAGCACGCGACACGGCGCCGTGGTCGGCAAAACTTGCTCGTTTGGGATTTTTCAACCTCCAGAGAACATGCTTAGCCGGCCTGTAGGGGGCGCTAGAGAAAAATGTTTTGGCGTTAGAAAAATTTTAAAAGTTTAAATTTATGACTAATTATTATAGTGAATAAAATTAAGAAAATAGTAAAAACTGAAATTGAGAAAACATTTTGTTGGCTGAACTAAATCAAATTAATGGAAAAAACTGGAACTGGAACTATATGATGTGTTTGTAAAATGATCTAAAATATACTGAAATATAGATATAATATTCTTCATTTTTATGTTGATGAATCTATTTATTAGCCTTTCAAACTGATGTGAAATTCATTACTTTTTTCTACACAAAAGCAGTTTACATGCTCTGTTAACACTATTACATAAAAAAACTATTTATTATTTTCTCTTTTTTTGTTTGCATTTTGCCATGTTCCAATCACAAGCTGATAATTGTGAAGACGAAGGAAAATAAAAAATTTAAGAAAAAAAACAAAAACAAATAAAATTCTTTAAAAAATTTTTGCCTCAAGAGAATGTTGCTACAAATTTAATTGGTTTTCTGACTTAAAACTTCATTGAAGCAATTCATCTTTGTGCGTATTCACCTTTTTTTTTTTTTAACCTTGAATGTAATTGTTTGCCATAATTTTTTTTCAGCATGTCCCCTAAAGCCCAGGCAGTCTAACGGGTGTGAGTACTTTGGAAAGGCTCCGGATGCATAAACGCAGGAACAAAGAACTCACCGTACTGTTTCGGGCCAAGACAATGGGGAGCCCAAAAGACGACACCACGATCCCCGTCGTTAAAAAGTAGGCCAGCTCCCTGCATGCATTACTGGACGAGTCGTCGTCACTCAGGCGTCTGGATATGAAGGTTGGGATGGGACTCAACACGTAGAAAATCAGCACAAAAAGCGGCCAGTAAACCCTGTGAGAGACGGAACAGGAGGACAGATCAAACACCAGAGTATTTCCTCTGCGATGAGAAAACATCCCAGTTTGGGGCTGGAGTGAGGCAACGACTGGTAACGACATGTGATCTGTCAGGTCAGTCGTCCCGTACCGAATGCTTGAGGAGCAAACTGTCTAAAACCAAGTTGGTAATTACGTATTTTTTCCGAGAACATGTTGGAGAGACCGAAGCAAAACACAAAGTTCAGAAAGTGTAGAGCTCCAGTCCACCAGTCAACTAATTTCTTATTTTTGATTTGAGAGATGGATGCAAAAAACATGTAGGTTTCAGTTTGAGCTGAGAAGGATTTATTTTTCCAAGCATCTAAGAGGATATTATAAAAGATGACAAGTTGCTTGCCCTTCTGTTATTTGTATGTTTCAACAGTAAAACATATATTCTGCAGCAACTAACTTCAGTTATTTTAATAGTAAGTTACAAATTTATTTTTGAAAAAAAAGAATCCTTTTTATTTTGTTATTTTGGGACACAGTTAAAGGCAAAAAAAAAAAAAAGCTTTTAAAATGACATCTGTCATAATGCTAGAGTGCAAGGCTAAGCTTAGCACTTCTGAAAAAGTCTTTAGATTTTCCTTCTAATCAAAGTAAGTGATGCGTTTTGAACTACGTTTTTTTTTTATTATTTCTTCCAACACAACTAAAAGTATTTTTTAAACTAAAATTACACCTAAAAATGTCTAAATCGTTCATAGATTTCTGAGCTAAATTTGATGGATGTTTGGTTTGAAAGTGATTTACTTGTGCTACTATTTCTTTTGTTTGTTTTGTATTTGTAATTTTCTGAATGCCTACTTTCTACTTCTATTTAGGTAAAAATATAGTGAAGTGCCACTACGCTTACCTGAGAACCATTTTCAGCTCATCTACCCACCTGACACTCAGTCGGCTCTTAAATTCCTATCAGGAAATTAAAATTCTTGCTGCATGTTTTTATGCCAACAACCTTGACAATATTCACAGATCAACTAGTTAATAATAATAATAATCAAATTATTCAGTGCGCAACCTGAATAATTTGGGTTGTTTAACAGCATTTGAGATTTAAATTCATCTTTCCATCTATTTTGTAACTTTCTGCACACTGATATTATCACTGGAACTTGACAAATGAAATTAGTTCCTAGTCAGAATCAGCTTTTCACACAAACAAGGAAGTTGACTTTGATTTCACTTTGCTCCCAACAAGACATTTAAAATATAAATATACTTTTGTCGCTCTTTTTTAAATCTCAGACTGGCAGTACGCTTAGAAAGGTGGGCAGGGAGATGTTGGAGTAGGGGATATGATCTTCATCCATTATGATCGATGGAAGAAATGGTTTGAACTTCCTCCTCTTTGGGTACATAAAGAATGTGTGCTTAGGGCGTCCAAAAGGCTGGCACCGGCCCTGTTGCTAGCAAATTTTTTTGTCAAATGCTTTAAACTGGCTTTTATTTTATTTGTGGCAACAAATAATCTTCTGGGGTAGGCTTGTCACAGCTGAACATTAAATATTCCAGAATGTCAAATTTTGAAATGTTGTGCCCTCCCTAAATTTTAGCATACTTATAATTTGGGAGTCATTTCTAAGTTTTAGTTGGGATGTTTTAATTTAAATAATTTTTCTGAACATACTTAGCCTAACAATTTATAGTTCATGCCGATTTGTTACTGTACAAATGTAAAAATGCAGTAAAGCATGGTGAGCTACATACCCGTACTGTTCCAGTGCGCAGCCCAGAAGAAGAAAAGTCAGTCCGATGGCGCCGCTGAACGAAAGACCAACCAGAGCTAAAAGGAGATATCAGAAATTTAATAACTTGACGGCAATAAATGAGCAGTAATAAATGAAAACGAAAGTGCAACACGCAAAGCTAAATCTTTCCTTAGCTACGGACTCGCTACAATATTTGCTACAAAATATGTTTGCACTCCCAGACTAACGCAGCATAAAAACTAGTAAGCAGTTTACAAAGTCTATATATTTTATATGTGATAATAAATACCCTGTAAAACGTCACACAGTCTACTGATAGTGAAAATGATTCCCGAAAGGTTACAAACAAAAGCTAATAAAGTTTCTGAAGTAGGAGACCGTCAAAACTTATCAAAAACTTAACTGTCAACCCCTGAACCTGTCCAGAAACGTTTCAGCACTGTACCTTTAATCCCAGCCATTGTTATAAATCTGTTAAATGCTCCCTGAAAGATTGTTATTCTCTTCTTTGAATATTGTTTATGATCCGAGGCGTCTTGTCTTGCTGGACGAACTTCCTGCTTCCTCCATCGGGGTTTCCTGAGGCTACGTCACATGACTGTCTTAAAGCGACAGTACCATGTTAGTACCCATCCGCCGTGGTAAACATAATATGACATTTTATAT